GAAAATAATATTAATTATCTAATCAAAGTGTAAATCTCTATTTTATATAAATAGGTAGCATGATTCCTCCATTTAGTATTTCCGGAATAAATTCAGAACCAATCAAAATTAGAAAGAAAAAAAAACATTTTTTTTTTTCTTTCTAATTTTATTGTATATAAAATAGTTTAGTTTAGTTTATTTTTAGTGATCAATAATTTAGAATATTTACAACAATCCCTAATAAATTTATAGACTTTTGAAAAATCATAAACGTTCGCTTTTTAAATTACCGACAAAGATGTGCTGCGTCAGGCACCTCTATACAAACAGTCCTAAGACACTCGTGCACATCTACGACCCAAGTACCACACTTTTAGAACAAAATAGAATACTGGAAACATATGTGAAAAAAGTTTATTTCTAGTTATCTTTTAAAATTGATCTTTTAAAAGTTAACTTTTAAAATGATTTAAATATATATCTAGTTGATTTTTTAAATATATATCTAATTGATTTTTTACTCGACTTCACCGAAGTCGAGTGAAAACTTAAATTGATTTAAATTTTTTTCACTAATCAATTACTATTTGCGGCAGTATAATCCGCTCCAAAACAACACGGTTCGTGAAAAATTTCTCTCTCGGCATGTAATTGAGTACTCTTTGCTGTGCAAGTCTTTGATTATGATCATGCATAATATACTTTGACGGCGAAAAATGATTGAAAGGTACGTGAATGTTTATTTCATCGATTTCACGCATGAACTTGAACATCAGAATTAAATCACCTCGTATCCTTTTTTCTTTAAGTGTCGTAAGACCTAACATGACTCTTAGCTGCTTAGAGGTGTGATGCTTAATCTCAGAAATGGTTTTTGTAGCACGGTTTTAAACTTTTTTTAGAGCTTCAATCAGGGCTGTGGAGTCGGAGTTGGAGTCGGAGTTGCGGAGTTGCAACATTTTTAGCGGAGTCGGAGTCGTTAAGCAAAATCGCAACTCCGACTCCAATAGTAAAATTTCTCGGTATTGCACGTGCATGTACAAACATGCAATTAACCTTATATTTATACTAACCTCAAAGAACGTTTCATAAATTTGTCAATTTGTCAAGCTTATTGCGTAATATTTTTTAAAGAATTTAAAAAAATTTTTTAAAATTTTTAGAATTTTTTAATCGGAGTTGTACTCAAAAAATTTAAACAACTGGAGTCGTAGTTGTACTCAAAAAGTTTAAACAACTGGAGTCGGAGTCGGAGTCGTTACTTTTTTTTTACGACTCCACACCCCTGGCTTCAATGTCTGCCCGTTGGTATAGTGACCACGCTTGGATAGTGTAAACTATGTGAGGACGAACATAGGTGGTATACAGTTCTTTCCATAGTGAAAAACTAAGGCTGTGAAGAGTTTTTTTTAGCCTCCCTAAGGAGCGGTTACCATTCACCGTAACTGCTGAAACTTGAGCATTAAGTTTAAGATCATCTGAGATAAGTACTAAATGAGTAACTTCGATTGCAATTGGCAGGCCGTCTGGTCCTGGCATAAAATACTCTTGTTTTGATACTTTTTTTCCTCGGCCAGTATGCATAACTTTACACTTTTCAGTGTTAAATGTCATTCAATCTTTATGTCAAGTCTTCAAAAAAAAAAGTTTTTTTTTTTTTTTTGAAGACTTGATTTAAGTATTTTTTTTTTTTTTAAGAAATTTGTTTTTCTTTTAATAGAAATTAAAATTACAAAATAAATCTGATTTCTGAGTAAAGTTAGTTATTAAAGATTTTTTAAAGCAGTGAAATTACCGCATTTTACTCTGTATTTATTTTTTAAAGTTTAAATACTTAAAAAATTGGAATATTTATGAAAAATAACTTGAGTATAGTTATTATAACGTAATAATTCCGATAAAAAAAAATTACGCTATTGAGCCAACGTTATTACAACGCACTGTGCGTCGCAAAGCGGAAATAGGATTTTACTTAATTTTCTGAAAATTTTTTTTAAATATTTTGAACATTTTTTAACCGAAACAAGTTAGCATTGATTAATAAAAAATTTTTGCAGCAAATTTTTTAAATTTGCCTTTTTAAGTGCGGGATTTTCAGAGGTAAAAAAACCCAGGTTTTTACAAAATCTTTAAATTACATACAGTAATCTCCAAATTTCCTCAATTTTTGTGCATATTATAAAATAAATGTTGCATTTTGTAAATTAAAAACCAAGAAAAAAAAAAAAAAGGTTTGAATCATTGTTTTTGTGTCCGTAAAGATTGATTGATTAGACCATGTTACTACAGAGGTTGCCAGTTTTTTATTTATTATAAATTTTCTGAAATAAATAGACTTTTTAGAAATGAAATAATATTCTGGCTACCTCTGTGGTAACAAGGTATAAAATCAATTCACTGTTGTGGGTTTTGTTAAAAACCGGTTAGTTAATAAGTATAAAAAATAACGTTGTGATAATAACTGAGGTAACGTTGCACTAAGCGTCGCTCCAATGCAAAATGAGAAAATAGGCTTATAAATAAAGAAACATTCAACATCAAATTTTTGTTTACATTTCTATATTTAAAAGAAAAATATCCGGTTTTTATAAAATAGCAGATTAGTATATTTTTTTGAGGTTCATCCGGACTAATCCCTGACTAACCCGGAAAATTACATTAGTCCGAATATTTTTATTCAAAAAATAGTAGGCGCCGATATTTTATAGAATTTTAAAAACTTTTTTAGAAATTTATGAACAGTACCATTGAATATAAACTTAATAAAATTATAAACAAATCTGCTTTCATCTGTTTCTTCGTCCTTTAGTTTTTTACAAAGTTTCTCAACGTTTTAATAGATATTTTTAATAACTTGTGACTATGAAAATAGTCATTTTTAAAAAAATTTAAATTAAAGATGTAAAATTTGTTTCACTTCTTTTTACGGTTCGATTATATCATAAACTGATTTTACAACATTAACGTTAATTAATTAACGTTATTTTTATCTTTTTTTTATTAATCATTTCTGATTATAGACATATTTATATCTTCCCTTGTTTTTCAAAATTCTTTGAAAGAATAATGTATAACAGGCTCTTTAATCAGAAAACGATGTGCTGTATTCAAAACAGTTAGGTTTCAAACATAAAAAATCAACTGAAAATGGATTAGTTAAAATAGTCAATCAAATAACAAACGCATTGGTAACTATTGGTTACTAACCACTTTACATTAGGACCTGTCAAAAGCTTTTGATACTGTTAGCCACAATATAGTAATAAAAAAACTTGAGTACTACGGAGTAAAAAATAATAACTTACTTTGGTTCAAAAGTTATTTGATCGCTAAATTAGCAAATTATACGATACGACCAAAACATTTCCGTACGTCTTAACTTGTGGGGTTCCCTAGGAAACAACTTTTATATTTTTAATTAAATAGGTTGTAAAGTATACGTATCTAAAACGGTTCTTGTAATAACGTTCTCTTTTGTTTTTAAATTTTTCCTTCTTTACATAAATATTACTCTTAATATGAATATTGTTCTTGAAGTTTTTCTTAGTTTTCATTTATTTTATTTTTATGTTTTCCAATAAATAATTACTAAAGTATTCATATATATATATTATGGTAATTGTAAATACGTACGAATGAGGCTCAATGATTAAACAAAAAACTTCGCTTCGTTTTTAAATAACAACAAAAGCAATAACTTTTACGACAAATCATTTATATTTCTATATATATATATATATATATATATATATATATATATATATATATATATATATATATATATATATATATATATATATATATATATATATATATATATATATATATATTAGAAAGTATTGATTAAAGTAGAATAAAAATGACCATTACATTTCAATCTAATATAGAATTGTGAGTTTGTTTAAATTTCTATTCTCCCAAGGTATTTCACTATGCTTTGCGCATATATAACTACATTTCAAGCAATGCTAAAACAATAAAGTTAATTTAGCTTTGTTAAAAACCATTATATTAAAAATCATAACATAATGGTCAAACCTTAGCGTGATTTAAATATCTTTTTTTAAATTAATATTATTACTGATCTTATAATTACTTTTTTTCTCAATATTTTGTCTTATTATAATAACATGTTGTTAGAGTTAACTCGTGTCTTATTTATATAAAAAAGGACTTGGATATATTAATAATATATTAGAAACTAAATAGCAAGACTGAATTTAAAAGCTTGAAAAAGACTTTTTTTTTTAATTAAACGGTATATAATTTTTTCATTAAATATAAACATACAAACAAATATATGTATTTGGTTTTTTTTTTTTTTTTTTTTTTTTTGATCACTGAATAATAATAAATAAATGAAAATATTATATGTATAATAAATGTAAACAGTTACAAACATATATACATATATATATATATATATATATATATATATATATATATATATATATATATATATATATATATATATATATATATATATATATATATATATATATGTATATATATATATATATATATATATATATATATATATATATATATATATATATATATATATATATATATATATATTTGTATAGAAATATAAATGATTCTTCGTAAAAGTTATTGCTTTTGTTGTTATTTAAAAACGAACTAATTTATGTAATTTCGCAATTAAGTTAATATTACATTTACTTGAAGTGGTGTAGCGAGGGTCAATAGCAATAGGAGTCAAAAAAGCAAAAAGCGTTTTATTAATATTATTGTAGTATAAATACTATTACAGTAAAAAATAATTTTTTTTTTAAGAAAAAAACTTTTTATAAAAAACAAGCCCTTTTTTATGCTTTTTTTTTTTGGCACTACTTTAGTTGTTTGCGCCCGGGGCTAAAGCCTCTTTAGCCCCCGTCTCGCTACTGATTACACGGCGATGAAATTAACGAAACAAGAAAAAATAACATTTAACAAATTTATATCGTATGTTAAACTCTAAATAAGATAATTTTACAAAAATAAAATTAAATAGTAATAAAAACACAAACATTTGTAATAACTTTAGTATGTTTGTTTTAATAAAACAGATTTATAACAATGAAGATAACTTTAAGGAAAACACTAACTTGTACAGCTTTATCATGCTATGCTTTATTTATTTACAAAATTTTTATAACTTCGTATTATTTTATGTCATGGATATCTGAAAACAACACTAAAAGAGGCAAGTACCTTTTGAAATTATTGTAAAAATGAAATGAACATAAAAGATGACAATTTTTTGTTTGTTGTCATGAACGTTTAAAAATTATGACTTTTTTTATAGGTTATAAAACGTATCTCAAAAAAAATAAATGGAATGATGTTGATAAAGCAAACATCAAAAATAATATCTCATACGTCGGCTACGAAAAAAAATTTCAAAATTATGAGTTAGTTAAAGGTTATGTAGCAAACATTAGAAACAATAAATTAGTTGATAGCTTTGAAACAGATATACAAAATAATAGCTCCGTTCCTGTTTTTGAAACGAACTTCAAAAAAAATCAAGTTGATGCTAGAAATAAAATCACAATCAACAACTCAGGTTTTTATAAAAAATGGAAAAAGAAAAACGACTTTGATGTAGCTTATGAAACAAACACCAAAAAAATAAAATTAGATGTTGGCGATAAAACGAACTTTAAAAACAATTATTTAAATGATGATTATAAAAAAAGCAGGAATAAAAATAGATTAAACCATGTTGGCTATAAAGAGAGGACAAAATATAATGTCTTTAGCATTAGCAATAAAACGAAAACTGAAAATAACAACGTAAATATTATTTCCAAAACAAATAAAAAAGTTATTGACATTAAACTTAAAATGATACAAAGCAAACCCATAAAAATAACGCAAAATATTAGAACAGATTGGACGGATATGATTAAAGTTCACCAAAATATATATAATAAATTTACAGATAAAGAGCTTCAAAATTATTTTGCGCAAGAGCGAATATCAAATAAATTGTTTGAAAATCCATTAGATATTACTTCCGATTTCAATCTTTTAAAAAGTTTGTTTCCGAATCCGATTGAACATCGAGATAGAGTGATTGGTCAACTGCTACTTAAACTAAAGACAAATGAAACAAAAATCATACTGACCTACAATCAGGATATAATCAGTAATGCTAAACTAAAAAAGTGCAATGTTAACAAATGTATTGTTAAAACAAATATTAGTGAACTTTCATCAGCTGATGTTGTTTTATTTGAGAGTTCACATTCTTTGCGCACTATAAAAAAGCATAAAAAAAATCAGGTTTGGATATTATATCAGCTTGAATCTCCATTAAATAGTGCAATTCAAGTGGCTAAAAATTTAATTAATTGGACTGCAACTTACCGTCGTGATAGCGTCATTAGTACACCCTACGAACGTTTCACTCCATATCTAAATGTTAGCAAATTTCCTAAAAATCCATTGCGAAATTACGCTTTAAATAAAACAAAATCTGTTGCTTGGTTTGTATCTAATTGTGCTGATGATAACGGCCGCTCCATTTTAGCAAAAAAACTTAGTAAATACATTAAGGTAGATATTTACGGACTTTGTGGCACATTAGAATGTCAAAGGAGTGACGTAGATTGTTTCAAAAAATTAAAAAGAGAGTACAAGTTTTACTTGTCTTTTGAAAACTCCAATTGCAAAGATTACGTCACTGAAAAGTTGTTTTGGAACGCTTATGAGTAAGTTACATAGCTTATATTTTATTTTAACTTTTAAATTAGAGTAAATGGGATTCAGAGATTCTTGTAATAAGTGAGAGATTCATCTCTCTCCTTGAAAACTGCCGACTGCTTTTAAAACTTTTTTTATTTCAAATACCGACTAGCCAACTGTATTTGACTATAAGTTGAGAATGACCTTCTTTCTGTTGCCCATGTAAGGTGTCCTATTAGTGTTTTTAATGTGCACTGTTCAGGTCACATGATGAACCTTTTATTGCGACTTTTTGCTGATTATATATATATATATATATATATATATATATATATATATATATATATATATATATATATATATATATATATATATATATATATATACTATTTGTTGATATATATATTTTTATTAAAAGTTTCTTTTAAGATACCCGGTGCCGGGTACAGACGATCCCGGGTACCCGGTAAAACAGCCGATTTACGGACTCCTCAGGTCCGAACTGGTGCTGATCACTTATATATATCTTATATATGTATATATATATATATATATATATTATATATATATATATATATATATATTTTTTTTTTTTTTTTTTTTTTTTGCCGTGTTAATATATACAAACGGTATCTTAATAATAAGATATATATGTAGCAGGGGCGAGAAGAAGACTAATATGTCTTATCGCCAAGCCCTTAGATAAATTCCGTTAATATAAAGTTTAATTCAAAAATAAGTATTTCCGTTGACAATATAAAATAAGCAAACGTAAAATTGGTAAAGTGATAAATAAAACATATTATTAAGGAGCAAAAAATAAAAATTAAAAAAAACGACAACACATTTTAAAATAACAAAAACTTAAATAAATTTGAAAAGTCAAAAGTGCATTCAACTCAAGCATTTCTAATATTAATATACTCCTCATTTAATTGATAGATCAATCATAAGGATATTTTGCTTTTTTAGAAATAGTTTTTTGGTAGATCATTTTTTAGTAACAACTGTCTAAGTTTGGCCTTAAACTCTTTTAACAATGTAAGAGTTTTAAGTTCAGATGTTAGTATTTTATTCCATGCCTTTGGTCCTCTAATTGAAATTGAAAACTCAGTTGCCGCATAATAACTTATGGGTTTGTATGTAGGTGTTACTTGAATGTCTAGTTAAGTATTTACTCTGATTAGTTTTGAATAAGAGATCAAAAGATTTTTAAATAATACTTTTGCATATTAAAGAGTTTTTTTGATTTATTTTTATTGTTACTACACCATGCAATATTAGCGTAATTAAAATAGGAATGAATAAAAGAGAAATATAGGAGTTTTAAACAACTTGAATTCAAAAAAGGTTTTGCCCTATAGAGTAGGACAATGCTACTTGACATTTTACCTTCAATATATTTTATATGATTTCTCCATGTTACATTTTCGTCGAGGAGTGCTCCTAGAAATTTTAATAATACCTCTCTTTTTATTTCGCAAGTGTTAATACAAAGATTTAGAAGTTTTAATGGAATTTTGTCTCCTTTATGATAGCGACGGAAAAAAGTATATTTTGAGTTAAATTTAGAGATAATTGGTTCGCTTTGAACCATTCAGCAAGGTATAGTAGTTCTGTGTTTACAGTTTTAAATAACATTTTTATATCATTGTGAGCATAAAATAGATTAGTATCAGATGCAAACAAGATTGTGTCTAATACATTACAAGATTTGCTTAGATTAATATATACTAGAAATTAGAGCAGTCCTAGTATAGATACTTTGTGGTACGCCACAAGATATATTTATGTTGTTAGTTTTTCCGTAATAATGAGAAATATATTGGTTTGAGTGTTTAATACCGTAGTTTTTTAATTTGGTTAATAAAATATGATGATTTACAGTGTCAAAAGCCTTTCTGAGATCAATAAATACGCCTAAAGTATATTTATTTTCATCAAAAGATTTAAGAATATCATGAACAAGATGAACAATTGCCTGGTCAGTAGACCCTTTTTGAATCCAAAATGTTTATTATAAAGAATGTTATTAATATATAAGAAATAGTACAGTTTTTTATACATAATATATTCTAATATTTTTGAAAAGCATGGTAATATTGAAATAGGTCTATAATTTGCAATACATGTTGCATCTCCAGATTTTAGAACCGGCATCACCCTTGCAACCTTTAGTTTATCAGGAAAGATTCCTTGTTCTAATGAAAGACTGAAAATGTTTTTAAATAAAATATTGATTTAATTATTATATTGCTACTTATATCATCAACTCCATTACCTTTATTTGGTTTTAATAAATTTACAGCATCAAGTAGTTCTTTTTCGAATTTTCTTATTACTTTCCTTAATAAGAACTTATTATTTTCCATAAGAATATTAATAGAGGTTAAGTATGATTCAAAGCTAGTTTTACTATTTTTTATGTTAGAGGCCAAACGTATTAACAAACGCATGATCGAAAGAATTAGCGATTAAAAAGTCATTAGTAATTTCACAATTATTTATAATGAGTTTTTTGGGAAA